ACATCATAAAACACCTTCAAAAACCTCACAAAGATTGATGCATTGTCCCAATCTACATCAGTTGGTGGTCCAACCCGACACTGCCTACTATTAGTCTGAACTACACCATCCTCATCAACTACCTCATCTGGCTCTTTGAAATAAGCCATGAATGGGCTGTTCAAATCCTCTACCATTCTAGTAAAAGCCTTCTTAAATTTCAAGGCTGCATCCAACATCATGTATGTTGAATTCCATCTTGTGGGGACATCCATGCATACAAGATTTTTGCAGGTCAGTTTCTCCTTCTCAACAGAGATTTTAAAATAATCCAATCTCTGTGGAGATGACCGAACATATCTCACAGCATTCCTAATTGCCATAACAGATTTTTGCAGCTTCCTCAACCCACTAGACACAATTAAATTAGTGATGTGAGCACAACATCTCATATGTAAGTACTTTCCACCCAAAACAACTTGTGAATTGTTCCATTTGTTCATTTTATACCTCACCCAATCAATTGCCACTTTATTTGCAGAGGCATTGTCCACAGTGATGGTTAAAACTTTCTCTATACCCCATTGTAACAAACAACTCTCAATGAGGTCTCCTATGGTGTTACCTTGGTGATTAGGAATAACACAAAAGTTTAAAACCCTTTTGTGCATCTTCCAATCACAATCTATAAAGTGTGCAGTGAGCACCATGTAATTGGTGTTTTGGACACTTGTCCAAGTGTCAGTCGTGAGGTTTATCCTAAGTGCACTTAAATCTTTCTTCAGCTGTTGTTTTTGTGCATCATACATTTTAAGAAACTGCCTCACTGTTTTTCTCCTACTAGGCACTTCAAACATTGGGCAAGCAACACTACAAAACCTCATAAAACCTTTCTTTTCTACAAAAGAAAATGGCAGCTCATCAACCACAATCATTTCAACACATGCATGAATAATATCGCTCTGCACAAACCCCCTAGCAACCATTTTGTTACTCTGACCCTTATTACCAGTAATGATCTTTTGTGTTTTATCTTGGTTAGGTGGGTAGTATTTGCAATATTTTCTAATGTGGCTTATCATGCCCGAAGTCCCATTTTTCCCACTATCACATGCATAATCTCCAAGACCAACTTTAGATTTAGGACAATATATACATTTAGCTCTTTTATTCACAACTTCTACATCTACCATCTTCCCTGTGGCCTCATCCTTCCTTTTGACAGTTTTTTTTATCATCATAAGGTGTAAAATGTTCCCAAACCCAACTTCTCTTAGTACCTCTACCTTTGCTATCTGAGTTCAGTTCACTAACCATTTCTGTACTCTCAAGGGCTTGCATTGGCTCAAGCACAGGAGCTTCACAAGGTTGGGCTTCTGGCTGCACAGCACACTGTGGTGGTGCTGGTGATGTTGCCGTTGAAGAAATAGCATGCCCACTGTTCTCCTGATGCTTACTTGATCGAGACTGCATGACAACATATTTAATCAGATATTCCTGCTCTAATTCATCAATCCAGACAGAGAATTTGTTGAAAATAAACTTACCATTTGAGTTTGAGTCTTCGATTTTGGGCTTCCAGTTCCAGACAGAGAGAGTGATCAAGTTTTGCACTCTGTATCATAAAGAAACATCAAACATGAACTTGTGAGGTACAAAATTGGTTTCTTTCGTGCTGTTTTATAATTTTAAAGGATAGCACTTTCATTCCTAATCAACTAATCAAAACACAAAAATATAATCAATAAATCAGAACACAAAACCGTAATCAATTCAGATAAATTAATTAATGAAAACCAAAAGCCCTAACCAAATGAAATTCAATTCTGTCAACAAAATCTACGAATTTCAATGCATGAAATTGAATTCCTTTCCTCTGTTAAGAGTAAAAGAGAAAACCAATCAAGAGCTTAATTCAATTAAGTGCAATACCAAGAAATAGCCAAAACATATTGAGAGACTGAGACAGAGAGAGAAAGATCGAGAGACAGAATTAAGTGATAGATGAAAAACCACAAGCGCAGACAGCTTAGCGTTTCAGAGCAACTAGGAAATAAAATCACAGGTTGTACCTGGTTGCGGTAGGCCACAGCTCCTGGATTTCAGTTTCGCATATATCTTGTGGGAGCTACGAGAGGGAGGAGACTAGACAGATCGTGAGAGTGAGAGAGTGAGAAAGAGATAGAGACAGAGATCCAAGGGTTTGGGAGGCGTGAGAGATCGAGAGTTTGAGAGAAAGAGAGAGCTTGCTGGGAGTGGAAGCAGAGTTTGAGAGAATCTGGGTCTGCTAGGAGGCGTGAGAGATTGAGAGTGAAAAAAAAAACTAGCGTATAATTTTGTTTAGGGTTACTATTCGGTACGGTATGGTTTCATACGGTGGCTGATATATGATACCACACCCGTGTCATACAAGATTGGCACGGTACGGTATGATACCGTATTAATTCGGTGGGCATACGGTACGGTATTAAACGGTATGATATGATATGGTATTGACACGGTTTCGGTATTACGGTATAGATGCCCACCCCTACTTTTACAACACTTGGAGATCCCTAAAATCCGAATATTGTTGCTAATGCTTTAGCTAATGTGGGTCACCATCAACATAACTTCTTTATTTAGTTTCATAATTTTTCTCACTAATGGCTATGAGACTTTTGTATGATAAAAAAGAATTTAGGAATTACTCGGAATCCTCTTTGTAATTTACTTTTGTACTTCGGGGGGAAAAAAAAAAAAGAAGGCCAAATCACCTAATTAACTTGACCATTACTCTCAAGAAAAAGAAAATAAACAAATGAGAGAGAGATAGAGCGAGGAAGAGAGAGAAATAGGGGGTAAGGACAAAGGAGTTGGGAGAAAACGCTTGAAAAGGAAGCGGTGGCCAGGTTAACATATTTGGGGGGAATTGGGGTTCTGCACTGTAGAGAAGGAGAGAGAGAGAGACAGAGAGAGGGAGAGAGACAGAGAGAGAGTTTTGTGGGATTTTAATTTAGCTGTAGATTTAATCATTTAAGAAGAATCCTATCACTAGTACAAGTAGTAGCTGTGCCATTTGATTTGGGCACAAATGAAAGTGAAGGGAGGAGGAAGAAGAAAGAGTTGGGAAGCAATGCCTCTTGATGTTGTTCTTCAAGATACCAGCAACAACCCAAATGCTCCTTTTGCTACTCTTCTTCAGCTGCAAGCTAACGCAGCCGCTCTAGAGCAACCCCAAGAGCAACGGCAGGAGCTTCAAGAACCTCAAGCTCTCGAAGAAGCTGACGATGGTGAGGGCGAGGGTGAAGATGATGGTGAGGTTGGGGGTGATGGTGATCGTGAGGCTGATGGTGTTGTTGATGACGATGAGAATAGAGAGCGCAACAAGCTTGCCGAGGGCTACTACGAAATCGAAGCCATCCGCCGAAAAAGGGTCCGCAAGGTACTACTCTCCCCCCAATTTTTTGTGGGTTATATTATTGCTTTAGAGAATTAAACTGGAAATAGCCAAAACAGATTGAGAGACTGAGACAGAGAGAGAAAGATCGAGAGACAGAATTAAGTGATAGATGAAAAACCACAAGCGCAGACAGCTTAGCGTTTCAGAGCAACTAGGAAATAAAATCACAGGTTGTACCTGGTTGCGGTAGGCCACAGCTCCTGGATTTCAGTTTCGCATATATCTTGTGGGAGCTACGAGAGGGAGGAGACTAGACAGATCGTGAGAGTGAGAGAGTGAGAAAGAGATAGAGACAGAGATCCAAGGGTTTGGGAGGCGTGAGAGATCGAGAGTTTGAGAGAAAGAGAGAGCTTGCTGGGAGTGGAAGCAGAGTTTGAGAGAATCTGGGTCTGCTAGGAGGCGTGAGAGATTGAGAGTGAAAAAAAAACTAGCGTATAATTTTGTTTAGGGTTACTATTCGGTACGGTATGGTTTCATACGGTGGCTGATATATGATACCACACCCGTGTCATACAAGATTGGCACGGTACGGTATGATACCGTATTAATTCGGTGGGCATACGGTACGGTATTAAACGGTATGATATGATATGGTATTGACACGGTTTCGGTATTACGGTATAGATGCCCACCCCTACTTTTACAACACTTGGAGATCCCTAAAATCCGAATATTGTTGCTAATGCTTTAGCTAATGTGGGTCACCATCAACATAACTTCTTTATTTAGTTTCATAATTTTTCTCACTAATGGCTATGAGACTTTTGTATGATAAAAAAGAATTTAGGAATTACTCGGAATCCTCTTTGTAATTTACTTTTGTACTTCGGGGGGAAAAAAAAAAAAGAAGGCCAAATCACCTAATTAACTTGACCATTACTCTCAAGAAAAAGAAAATAAACAAATGAGAGAGAGATAGAGCGAGGAAGAGAGAGAAATAGGGGGTAAGGACAAAGGAGTTGGGAGAAAACGCTTGAAAAGGAAGCGGTGGCCAGGTTAACATATTTGGGGGGAATTGGGGTTCTGCACTGTAGAGAAGGAGAGAGAGAGAGACAGAGAGAGGGAGAGAGACAGAGAGAGAGTTTTGTGGGATTTTAATTTAGCTGTAGATTTAATCATTTAAGAAGAATCCTATCACTAGTACAAGTAGTAGCTGTGCCATTTGATTTGGGCACAAATGAAAGTGAAGGGAGGAGGAAGAAGAAAGAGTTGGGAAGCAATGCCTCTTGATGTTGTTCTTCAAGATACCAGCAACAACCCAAATGCTCCTTTTGCTACTCTTCTTCAGCTGCAAGCTAACGCAGCCGCTCTAGAGCAACCCCAAGAGCAACGGCAGGAGCTTCAAGAACCTCAAGCTCTCGAAGAAGCTGACGATGGTGAGGGCGAGGGTGAAGATGATGGTGAGGTTGGGGGTGATGGTGATCGTGAGGCTGATGGTGTTGTTGATGACGATGAGAATAGAGAGCGCAACAAGCTTGCCGAGGGCTACTACGAAATCGAAGCCATCCGCCGAAAAAGGGTCCGCAAGGTACTACTCTCCCCCCAATTTTTTGTGGGTTATATTATTGCTTTAGAGAATTAAACTGGGTTCTTTTAGTTTCGTTGTTTTGTTGGAGTTTTGATAAGAAAATGATGGGTTTTTGTGTTTGTTTACATATTTCTTCTGATTACTGAGTGTTTTGTTTCCTTCTGTTTTCGTTGGAATGTGGGAAAATCGACAATATAGGGTGAGCTCCAGTATCTCATCAAATGGTGCGTGAACCTCCCTCTTATCATTTTTTTTCTTGCTGTTTCTTAACTTACTTTATGCACATACACTGCTTCATTATATCAAATCAAATCATCTAAGTCTTGTTGATGTCAGACAGAGAATAGATAGGGAATAGAAGGGAGTGGGGAGAAGATTTAAGGCCTTTTATAGACATTCCTAACTCGATAAAGAAACCCTAAATAGTGATAAGCAAATAAATCCTCAACCCCTATGTAATATATAATCCCAATCTTAAAATATGATACAACATCCAAAGATGGGAGAAATTATTATATGGTACTAGAATACGGCCATACTCTCGTACTACATTATAAAAACTCCGAAGTTGGTACATAAACTCTAATAAAGTTTTTTTTTCCCATATAATCGGGATCTCTTATTAATTAATTCTGTGTATTTATTGCTATTGGCTCATTATACAGGCGTGGTTGGCCAGAGACTGACAATACATGGGAGCCCTTGGATAATCTCCATTCAATCGCTGATGTTATCGAAGCATTTGAGGAAAGGTATTATTTTGTTTAGTTTTCTTCCATTTCCCTCTAGTTATTCATTTGGTTTTCCAAAAACAGGAGCAAAAGGACACTAACAATTCGCAGTGCTTGAGCTTACAAAGATATTAAAAACTGACTCATTTTAAAATTCTTGTTATGTTGATTGGGTTCATTTTTTTCTAGGTAGCTTGAGCAACAAATGCTAAATTTTAAGTTTCTTTTTTATTATTTTTATTATGTCTTTTTTAAAGCTTGCGTGCTGGAAAGCATCGGAAGCGCAAGCGCAAGTCCGGGACTCCTCATTCTCAACCCAAGAAGAGGCAGCAGCGTTCTACTGATCCTATCTACAACGTGACAGATGTGGAAATCAGCATGGTTGATAAAGTTCTGTCCTCCGCTGCTCTCAACTGCTCGAGCCTTGTTGATCTTCCGCCCCCTCAGCAGTCTGTGGGTGTATCATTTGAAGGAGAGAATGATGGGCATGTC